CAGCTAATCTTTAATGGATGACATGCAAGAAAGAAAAATAACTAACATATAAAGCAGAGACTCTCAAGTGAGCGTTTAAGAAATTAAAAAAATAAGGCTTTTAAAGAAATGTATTTTAAACAAAACAATGTAGAAAATGAAATATTTTTATGTGTAAAATTTGAACATTATCTGTATATTGCAAGCATAATACAGGAATAAAAATGAAGAGATATTACACTCTACATAATGCCCACTGAGCCTATTTGGGAAAACAGGTTTAATTGAACAAGTTATTTTTTTTAATGTAACTACGTCATGGACCTAAGAGTATATTAATGTTTGCAACAGGCCATATAATATTACATCTCACTGTCAAACTCAATTTAGGTAAAACAAATTTTGAAGTGTTTGTGGTTTCATCATTTTATTTAGTTGAGAAGAAATACTTAACTAAAAAATTGAGAGTCAATGTTTCTGCTACGCTTCTCTAAAATATCCCCTACTATTTAAAGGTCATATATGTCAATAATGTTCAAATAATCTTATCCACATGTACAATTTAATGAGTTAAAACACAGTAAGAAGTCTTAAATAGCTCCTATGAGATAAATTTTTTGCAGTGGTAACACATATGGAATGAGCTAGTCATTTCAGCTTTTGCAAAATTAAGACCTACTTACTATGTATTTTTCCTTTATTTTCTTTAATGAAAAGATTTAAAAAATATTTTCTTATTTCCAAGCTACCTAAATACAGTTAAATCTTAAAATCAAAGGAAAATTGAAAACTGTGGGATAAATGAACTAATAAAAACCCTCATAAATTATTTTTAAAAAAGAAATGAATATCAATCCCTTGTGAAACAAAAGCATATACAAATACTTATGGGATAGTTTACTTATATTACAAGTACACTTTGAATATACCCTCTATTAAATCAAGGAATCTTGAGAAAACAAGATGATAACATCCTCATCTTATCTACTGAGTGCTTTTTATGGGTTAAGCACTTCATACACATTATCTCACTTAAATGTCACAGCAACCTATAAAATAAGTTTTAATCAAAGCTTAGTGAGTCTGTCACTTATACATGATAAGTGGCAAAAAGATTAGAACAAAGGTCTGATTCCAAACTCTGAACATTTAACCCCTACTATAGTGTATTATGAGTGAAAAGTGAATACAGTCAAAAAGAAATGTTTGAAATCCCAAATCTGTCTTCTTCGCTGGTGTATATTCAGTGCCTAAAACAATCCTAGCACACAATGGCCCTTCAATAAATACTTCTTGGTTAAATTTTAAAAGAGTTAGCTTAGCTCCTATAAAGTGCCAAATAAAAACAGTATTGGTGGTGATGTCAAAAAAGAAGGGGAAGACAAGAGAGTCAACCATTTGAGATTTTATCACAATAGACGACACAACGGGGTTTCAAAATTGCATGAAATCATGTCAGTTTGAATGACAGTATTTGTAGTATATAAAAACCAACAGGGAAGTAACGGAAATAAGCTTGATATTATTTTAACAGTCTACATAAAGGTTTATTATTGGTACACACTAGATTAAAGCCCATATCTTTTGCATCCCAATTCTTTTATTTTGGATTCACATTTAAGTAAGATGTATTTTTAATTAAAACCTAAACAGAACAAAAGTCTCTTTATGACTTCTGATATTATCAAAGATTTAAGAATTGTATAGAGATAAAATAATAAATATTACTATTAGCTACAACTTACTGAGTACCAGTTATATATTAGGTGCTTTTGTACATTATCTATAATCCCTAAAATAATCTGGTAAGTTAGTTAATATTCACATTTTACACGGCAGAAAGTAAACCTGGAGAAGCTCATAAGTAACTTGCCCAAAGGCGCACAGTTGGTGTTAATAAGTATCAAAGCTGTGATTTGCACCTGGGTCAGTCTGATTCTACGGCTTTTGGTCTTCCCATTATTTCAATGTGCCTCACAAAGAACTGGGCACCTTTGTTTCATGTGGTTTTTTGACTGTACCAGACTCTCATTCTTATATTTAATCAGGTGGGAAGACAAAATAGACTAATACATATGTAAGTTATACAACACACAAAGACACGCAAATAAATAAGGAGAAAATCTGAAACAAAAATGGCTTAGGTAAAATGGCAAATTTGATCACAGCCGTCATATAAATTTCATGAAACTGGTTCATGTGGTCGTTATGTATCAAACATATCACAGGAATTATTTGAAGATCAGAAAGTAACTATTAAAAAAAATCACTTCCTTAGTGATCAGTAATACTAATATCTAATCATACGAGTACAAATACTAAATCTAATTCACGATCATTGTATAAAACTTGAAAAGGCAGAAAACCATTAATTGAAACATTAATATATCCATTAATAATACAAATAAATTTGCCTCGTTTCATATAATGTACGTGTACACATAGATTTAACAAAATTATATTATAAATGCAGTTTCCCCCCTACTTTTCACTTAACATTAAATCATGAAGATTTTCTCATATCACCAAATATTTAGCAACGGTTTTCAGTTATCATATAATGTCTCACAGCATACACATACCTTATTTAACCATTCTCTTATTGTCTGATTGATGTTAGTTCTCTGGCTATTATAACTAACACTAGTATGGATATCCTTAATATAAATCTTTATGTCATGCACTATAAGGAAATGGCTATTTCCTTAGAGTACTTCATATTTTAACTAACATTTGAAAAATCTATAAACATATATTTTTATATCTTATTTGCAATTTTCAATGTTTACTTGAGATGTTTTTGCATGTATTTCTTTTAATGTGGAATATCTTAATTTTTTTTAAACAATTATACTTTGCTTAAGTACATTATAATACATAAATGTGTCATAGTTATAATGTACTTTACCAAATACACTTTTTATTTTGAATATAAAAATGAGCCATGACAGAAACAAACATCAATACTGGTGTGGACTTTTTTTGCTGTTGTTATGTGGGTTATCTGTCCTTTCACATGACACTAAAGAACACATTTATCACATGTAATCATATTCCTATAATGTTCCTCTTTATCTATTAAGGTACTGACACAGTTTTTGTTGTTGTGTTTTGCTTTTTGACTGCACCTGATACCAGTTGGGTAGAAAATAAGCTACTAAAGACCATACGTATGAGAAAATATGAAAAAAATAATAAGTCTATCAAGAGTTAATGAATTTCTTACAGTTTCAAGCCAATGGATTTCTTAAGCAATTCAGTGTTTTTTTTTTAATTTTGACATATCACAATAATGACTCTCTCTAATGTCATAAGTAAAATATCTTTAATCTTTTTTAATAAGATGGAACTGAAACATCAAAAAGATACACACTGAAAATTTATACTTTAAAAAAATTTCAGAGGATTTACATTTTGTGTCATTTTTATAACTAAGTGGTTGGATGTATCTCTTTTAACTAGATTGCACTGCTATTTTCATCAATTTAGGAGGCTGTAAAAATACTAAACATCTCAAATATTTAACATTTACTAAAATAATATTGTATAATTAATGAGAAATATTTGATTAACAAGAATCATAAAGCAATCAAATTCTTTCCATTGTATGCATGCATGATTCGTACTATTTAGTCAAAGGGAAGCCTTAAGTATATACAAATAAGTAAATATTTGAAGTATATGATTAGCTATATCATACGAAAGTTTTAAGAGTAGATAATATTGCTTAATGAGATTTCACCTCCAAGATATAACTGATCAATGCAAACATATTAATTTATGCTTTTCAGTAAATCAAAATGCCCTAAATCTTATCAAATTACTCCTGCAAGACACATGCAAAGCTATACAACACCTTTAAACAAATGTACTTATAATATCTTCCTAGTAATTAGCATATATATGATTATAAAAAGCCAACAAACTTCCAAATTGTTCTAAGTTTTTATTTGAATTATTCATTATTAACATATGGTTATTTTTCCTTAAAATATATTAGTCCCACATTCTCTATTAAAAAAGAAAAAACATTCATGGTAGTTTAACAGTACAGAAAAACAACCATCTATTATTTTAGTTGGAGTATTTATTTATGGTAATTTTGGTTATATATTCATAGTGATGTTCAGTTCTATTTTGTATAATAACATTTTAAAGACAGGCTATACCTGTGAATGTCTCTGACCTAAAAAACCAGAATTCTCTCATATATGCAACCAGGTTAACATAGCCTCAAACTAATCACAAAATAATTTCTTAAAATCATTCTAATTGATATAAAAATGTTAAATAAGTAATGTCTAAAATGCCTCTGCAGGTTAATTTCTATTATACTATGAAATTTCTCTCCTTAACATAAAACAGTGTGAGCAAAAGAGTCACACACTATTGAGAATCATCTGAACTTATCTGTAACATATCACAAATATATTAAAAATTTTTTTCCTTACAAAGACCTGTGAGTAAAGATAGACTCCAAAACATATTTAAGGCAGTCATTTATAGTCTTAAACTCTGGCAACCTTTCATTTTAATCTTCTCAGTGAAAACATTATCTCCATCATCATCCACATGATCAGATGAAAATTTATTAATTGCACAAAACAGATTTTTGAATCAAATGTAGGTTTCCATTGGCAATGAATATATGACTATCCTCACACAAAAGAGAAGTATTTCCTCTCAAGGAGCTAAAACAATAAGTGGTATTTGAACTGCTGGTTGAAAGGTAGAGGCACTGGTAATCATTATTTCCCCTTGTTTGTTCAGGCCCTTCCAACAAAACAAACAACCTTTTTGTGATTGGATTGACATGGTGTTAACAATGCATTTAATGCCCAAATCAGTATGAATACAGGTAAAGCTCTCACTAATACCAGTACCAGGATGTTAAAGCCACCTATTTTCTATGCAGCCAAAAAAAAAAAAAAGAGCCTCCCCTCCTTTGACAAATAAGCTAGTATGCTAGTATTCACTGAGCCACATCATATAATAACTCTCTTAATACTCGTCTACTATACCTGCTGTCTTCTCAGCAATATGAGCTTCTGTTGCTTTCTCCTGGAGTTCCAGCCTAAGCTTTAGTTTTCTATGTTCCTTATCTTCTTTAGTCAGTTTTTCTTGAAGCTAAAACACATTGAAAGAAACATAGTTTCTTATTCGACAAATTTCTTACAGAAATATAATTAATCCCAAAGTAAAAGCTATTTTTTCTAAACCCTTACTTATTACATTTAACTGCCTAAATACATAAGTCCAAGCGGGGTGGGGGGGGGGGAGGGGGAAGAAATCCCACAATGTTTAACATTTTAAGCTATTTTTAAAGTAATAATTAATTACCTATAATGATAGAGAAATTATGGAAACATTTTGATATACACTTGTGTATTTATAGGCAAATGAAATTAAAGAGGGAATGACACAATTATTAAAAATACTGCAAAAAGCAATCTGATCTGTTCTTTTGTCTTAAAGCAAAAGACTTGGAAGGCACTACCCTAATAAAAAAACAACAGCTTTAAAGCTTCTCTTAGTAATTATAATACTTTGAAACAAAATTAATTAAGATAATAATCTTAATATGTGAAACAAATCTCCTTTGAGAATGCTATCCCATCATATTCCATTTAAATCGGCACTGGCACCTGATTTATAACTGGCATGTAATAAATAATTACTAAATGAAAATACTGAACATATCTCCTACTTTCATACAGAACCCCTCAATTGTTTGTCATTTGTGTTGTTTTCCATCAGATATGATCAACATTACTAACAGCATGCCTCAGTTTGATTAGGTCAAAAACTAGAATATGAAAATCAGAAAAGTATGTAGAGGTATGCAGAGGTTAAAAAAACAGAAGGTATAGAAAACAAACATTATTTAATAACATTATTAAATGTGCAAAGAAATGTAACTAGAAAGAGTCAGTAAGGATAAGACACATGACATGACAAACTGGACTGGACAAAATGTAGCAGTATATAACACAAGGAATGTGACGGTATTGCCAAAATTTAATCACATATATTATTGAGGTGAAATACAGGGCACAGATGCTAAGAAAAAAAAGTTAAGTAACATGAAATCATTCATTGTATTTCTCACTTTCTGTAATACTGAAGTAAACTTTTACTACCGTTAAAACTTGAATGAATCTTTTTTTTTTTTTTAAGGTACCTACTCAGGGTACTACAGATTTATGAAAAAAGAAGTGATATCACAGGCCAGCAAGGCAGGAAAGTAAAGAAATTGCTTTTGATAGCCAATCTCTCAATACAATCATACTCTGATGGTATGGTATGGTATGGCAACAACATAAAGCTACCATGAAAGGCTAAAAGTACATGATGAAACTGAATTATGATGGGCAACAAAGCAAACTTATAAGGTCAACAGCTAAAAGCACACTGTACAATTATCAGACTTTCTATATTGTACCTTTTTATTGCTTGCTCTGAGAATGTCCAATTCTTTTAGAAGAAATGCTATTGTCTTCTCTTTATCTAAGTCTGAAGTAACTTGACAAGGGATCGTACACTCACAATGCAAATCATGATCTCTATGTTCCATAATGCTGTAAGAAAAAAAACTATTGAACTATACACATATATGATTTCTACCATGCGGAATCTATAATTTTACACTTCAAATGAGGGAAACCAATTTAATGTTAACAATAATATATAAAGTTACTTAGTTTTAAATTTCTCTTGTTATATACTGTTAAGAAAATACATGGATGGAAAAGAATGAATATATCAACGTCACAGAGTCGTTAATCTATCAACTGAGGGAACTAAACCTGTGGAAAGCATTTAGTCATTTCTATAGAAATTCATTGTTAAGTATATGTAAAGAATTCAGATTTTAGGGGATGTGAATAATTCAATTTATACTTTTGGTCAGGACTCTAGATACATATCTCACTTTTCTGAAAATGGAAAGAATCATACTTTTTTCAGTGTGGTTGACAGAATATCATATTTTTGTTATTAAACTCAAAACAAAACTGAAAACCTATTCCTGTAACATTTAATGGTAAATAATTTTTTTGACATTTTGTATGCTATTTGAGGACAGTATCGACTTGCCAGCAGGTAGTAAAAAGGAAGGGAAAGAGATGGACTATTTTTTGAAGGCATTATATTAAACTTGTAAGCATAGGTAAACTTTAGAGTCTCTAAGAAGCAATTAAGCAGGGAGGTCTGGGACAGTCAGTGCAGTTCTACCTACCATGTATACCTTCTGTTGCAATTATATTAAGATATTTCATACTCTGGCTTTAGACCAGTCTCTACTATTTATTTTTCCCACATGGTTATAAAATGTTTACCATCTCTTCATTCATCCCTAACCCTATGCCCCTATGCAGTAATTCTGCAGTATTTTCAAAATATATGACTAATTATGGAAGTACTTTAATCCCATAGAGGTAAAAGTCACAGGGGTCACAAATTCAAATCCCGTCATGGGATAAGTAGGTAAGGTGAATGGTAAAAGCTGTAGAATGGAAAATAATAAAGAAGGCAAATGGAAAAGTACAAGGCCCTTCTAAAAGTAATCAAACTCCTTTAAACAAAAAATCATGCTAATCAAAGCCAAAACACATCTTTGGGCTTATTTTGTCCTACAGTTGCCATTTTTTGGCTCTGATGAATAATTTCCCATTTATGTCAACTTAAGTTATTTCCAGATCCAAAATGAAAGGTCACAGAAAACAATATTCAACAAGAAGGAATAAAATCTCATGGCCTTCATTTAAACTCACCTTATGCTTTTTCACTTAACAATCTACATCCATTCTATCAACATAATGAAAACAGTAGAAAACTCTGGTAGACAGCCCAAATTCTAATAAGTTAATGATATGTCCAATGTAGCTGAAGCCAAAAAGAAAAAAGGGAGAGACGAATGGGGCAGGGAGGGAGGGAGGAAGAAAGAGTTCTCTCAATCTTACTTTCTAAATCTAAGGCTGCCAGCACTCACTTGGATTTTTCAATAGTGCAGTCAGCTGTCTCATCACCTGGATAAGGAAAATTCCTTGATCTCTGCCCTGGCAGTTCTGTGTCCTCATAGGTGGCTTCATTAACCAATTCACTGGATTTCTGATGCATGCTTTCCTTAGAATTCACAGTTGGTTGCTCATCTGGCTCTGTACTTTTATTTCTCCCTGTAGTCTCTTGTTCAAGGTAACTATGGGCTATCTCTGTATTTAAAACAAAACAAAAACAAATGATACATGAAATACCATAGCTACATATTAAATCATTGAAATGAATATTTTTGTAGAAATAGGTGCTCTCATAGCTTTAAACATGTACTTACTAGTCTTACTCCTATTGTAATCAGGAACGTACAGCGGTTTTTCCACATCTGGTGGGGGCATTTAGGGCAGTGGTTTACAACCTTCACTTCAGGTTGAAATAACCTGAGGAGTTTCTAGAAATCCTTAGCCCAGACCACATCTTGTATTAATTAAATCAAAATGTGTCAGAGTGTCCAAATGACTTCAGCATCCAACCAAAACTGAGAAACACAGATTTAGGGGCACTGTTTTCTAGATTTCTTTTCTAGATTTCAAAAAATAGGATGCGATACGCAAATGACTATAGAGAAGTGATACTGTGCATGCAACTCTGGTATCCAACTGCCTGGGCTAGAATTCCAGCTTTGCCTAATGCATAACTTTCATCAGGTTACATAACCCATCAAAGCCTAAGTTTCTTGTTTGTAAAATGAGAACATAAGAGCACTTTTACTTGAGTTACTTTAAGGGCTGACTGATGCAAAGTACTTGGCCTAGAGTTAGGCACATTGGTAAACGTTAGGTATTATTTTTGTAATCATTATCATAATATTAAAATTAATACAATATAAGAAAAATTATTTTTAACTTCCATCTTATCAGATATATACTATACATTAGAAAATATGGGGCGCTTGGGTGGCTCGGTCGGTTAAGCATCCGACTTCGGCTCAGGTCATGATCTCACGGCCCGTGAGTTCAAGCCCCGCGTCAGGCTCTGTGCTGACCGCTCAGAGCCTGGAGCCTGCTTCAGATTCTGTGTCTCCCTCTCTCTCTGCCCCTCCCCTGTTCATGCTCTGTCTCTGTCTCAAAAATAAATAAACGTTAAAATTAAAAAAAAAAAAAAAAAAAAAAAAAAAAAAAAAAAAAGAAAAAAGAAAATCTGTTTTGTAATGCCTGGCTATCTCATAAAAATTATCTTAAGCTGTAACTAGTATATAACAGCTATTTCAAAGGAATAGTATATCTAATACTATGGTGAAATTTTTGGAAGAAAATGACACACATGCAACTACATAAAACAAACTCTTTTACTGGTAAATCAGACCAACAGGCACAAATACTGATTGTAACAAATACTTTATTATTTCCAGTATCAATAACTCTTGAACTTTAAAAAGCAAGTGAATCTCATCTGCTTGTTGATGATGCCTTTTCCAACCTGCCAAACTTAAAATCCTTTTAAGCAGAAAAGCAGAGGAGAGTAGTTTTAGAATAAATAACAAAATAGGGGTACTTATAAATAAGCTACTTCTCACAAAGTATTCATTTCTTAAGGAGAAATTCTTTGCTTGTGGATATGCTGAAACTAGGTTAAGCCAGTCATAAACCCTAAGTCCTGGGCATTATCTCGTTGGTAGCTGAAGCTAAATCAGAAATCACTTGTTTTTAGTAAATTACTCTCAATTTCACTTTGTTTGACGAAACAAATAGGGAGACTATGTCATCATAATTATATGCTGTAAGGTATCTATGAAACATTAAACAGTAAAACATTATACTGTTTTTATTTAAACTTTAACAATTCTAGGTATCTGAAAATTATCCTGTTGGTTTTTGACATTTCAAAACACTTACATGGTTTGCTTCAGATGTTCATCAGGCTACTTTTCTAGGAGAAGCTGGTGTTAGTAGAATGGAACCCTCAAAATCTGAATTAAGGAATTTTATAAATGGACATTAAAAAATACAACTGTATCTATAAACCATGCTTTCTAACACTAACACGTAATTTTAAAAGTACAGCTTGAACACATGGGTTTGAACTGTGCAGGTCCACTTATCTGTGAATTTTTTTCTTTTATAACTACAATAGAGTAATGTAAATGTATTTTCTCTTATGATTTGCTTAATAACATTTTCTTTTCTCTAGCTTATTTATGGTTAAGAATACAGTATTAATACATACAACATACAATACATGTGTTAATTGACTATAGTACTGGTAAAGCTTCTGGTCAACAGTAGGCTATTAAGTAGTTACGTTTTGGGGGAGTCAAAGTTATACAGGAATTTGAGTGCAGGGGGTTGGATCTCCTAACACCCAGATTGTTCAAGGATCAACTTTTACTAAAATGAAAGAGAATTACAGTTTTCCATCATCTACATTACCATTACCTTACCACTATGTACAACTCGTCCCATATTTTTACTTCTGTATTTCTGGGTTTAGTTTAGCATCTTTCTTCTCCCAGTTTCTAATTTCTAACCTCCTAGTGTTTACTTTACCTCATTCTTGGTATGTATACTTTCTATCTGCTTACTATATTTATAGCTCTTTTTCTTACTTCAGGTTACTTAATGTCAAGTTTTGTGTTCTGCTGAATTCCTGGCAAATCAGCACCTTTTCACCAGGGAATGTACTATCTTCTCCAAACTCAGAGCTTCCCAATAAAAGGACTCTATGCAGATCCCTCCTGGATTATAGTAATTATAATCTCTTATAGTGTAATTAAAATAAACTCAGCAAGTTCTAATGTACTTCTGGAATTTAATTCTAAATGTTTAATATTTTTGAAGAACCCTGTACTGTGTGATTTGGCTCTGATTAATTAAAGATGTTTCTAATCTTGCTCTGTACTAGAAGCTTTTAAACTCCTAACTGTAACTGTTTACCAAGCATTTGGAGCCTGCTCTGTAAATCAAACTATCCATACATATTCTGCCAGTGAAAATTTAATTTTACTTTGGAGTAAACAAGGCTGATTTATAAAATTTTCCTTTTGTCTATTTTTTTTCCATTATAGCAAATGTTGTTTAATCTTCTTTCAATGCTTTTCTACTCTGCCATATTACATTATCCTAAATCAGAATTCAACTTCTGTATAGGAAGTTTGACCCTTCTAATTAATCTATTTATTAACTAATTAATGGAAACCTCCAATATGATATGTTATATGAAAGTACTAGGAAAACAAAGGAGTGGGAAACAGACTCTCCCCTGAAGGACTCTAGTATAGTGAGGAGGCAAACCGATCTGACGATTTGAATACAACGTAGAAATGGCTATACTCGGGTCAAAGAGACCAAACATAAAACATACTAGACATACTGATGCTCAACTAGAAGATTCTGGGAAGATTTCACAAAGGCATCTGTTCCAACAAAAGACAAGTAGGAATGTGCAAAGCAATCAACTACCAAACGGTTTGAGTTAGATGATGTAATGAAAAAGTTGACAGACTCTAAGAATAAAGTAACAGGAAGAACAAGCATGGGTACAGAGGAGAAGGAATGGCTTTAGGAAAAACACAGACATTTCTTATATATCTTTCTTGAAATGACAAGATGTTATAGTCAGGGAGTAAAAATTCCTAAAATGAGTGATATGTAAGACAAAGTCCAAGATGTGGTTCATCTGGGAATGGGTAAATGAAATAGACTGAAGGTACATGTAGAGGAAGAAATCAAGGAATCAAGGTACTGAAAGTGTTATCTATTAAAACACTGAAATCATTCAGAAAAATGGCAAGCAATGGAAAGGAGAAATGAGAGCCAAGACTTCACTGACTGCATCAACATGCTGAAGAAAACAGAGACAAATGAGAGAGCTGAGAGGAATTGATTGTAGAGAAGTCATTTCTTTTTATCTTTTTACTTTGAAATAATTTCAATCTAATAAAAAAGCTACAAAAATCGTACAGAGTTCCTATGTACTGAGTCAAGGCACCCAGATTCTCCAAATGTTAACATTTTACCACACTTGCTTTATTGTTCTCTTCATTCTCTCTGTATCTACCTACCTATGTAATTTTTTCCATAACATTTGAGAGTAAGTTGTAGGCATTATGTACTTTGACTTTTCAAGTCAAATTTAAGATACTGCTCTATCATATTGCATTTTGTCAAGTTTGATTTACCTTTTTCAAGGCCCAACTTAAGTTCAATTTCTGAATTAGTACCATCTCCAACCAAGAGAAGATGATAGCACTTAGTGACTCTAACTCAGTCTTCAATTATTCTCCCTACACTCTCAAGCCCAAAAGAAAGACCATTACTTTTTTAAAATATTTTTATTTATTTATTTTTTTGAGAGAGCACGAGTGGGGGAAGGGCAGAGAGAGAGGGAGAGAGTAGATCTGAAGCAGACTCTGCAATGACAACAGTCAACCCAATGTGGGGCTCAAACTCACAAACCATGAGATCATGACCTGAGCTAAAGTCAGATGCTTAACCAACTGAGCCACAGAGCTACCCCAAGAAAGACCATTATGAAGTGATAATGGGGTGAAGCCACTAAAAGCTTCAGCTAAGCTGTCTGGATTGCCCCATCACTTGAAAAAGCATTGCATACAGAAGTATAAATATATGTCAATACAATGCAACAAAAAGGCAAGTTACAGGTCTGTTTTGCACACCAGTCAATTGGAAAGATAAGATATATATTTAAAAGAAAAAAACCCTATTCACTTCTAAATATCTCTAGACAGATGAAAGTTTAAAACTAAAACTATTCTATTAATTCCTCTCTCATATGGTTTAAAATGGAAACTCTATAACCTTTTTTAGTAATCTGCTTCAGTGTTTAATCAATGTCATTATTAACTATTCCATCATTATGACTAACAAAATTATTACTATTTAAATATATTTCTCCATATGGACTTAGACAATAAATTATCAATGTCTTCTTCATAATTCATAAGACTCTGAAGTCTAACTTTCTTTCCTAAGAGTTAAACAACAGGGAATTTTTATAACTATCAATTCCTTTAGTTATTTATTTGCTCTTCTGTGAGGACTGTATTATTGGACATAAGAATTTGACCACTTCAAACCAAATATATTTCCCAGTTTTTGCTATTACTATCTTATGCTATCACTATCATATTAGCTTATCCTGTGACCATTTCAAAGTAATTTTACAGAGGAAAACTACTAGTTATTTCTCAAATTGCTATTGCTAGAGATAGTTTACTCATCTGGGCAAAATGGGTGGATTTTGAAAAGATTTTGGGGGGATTTTAATACTTAATACATGTACCTAGGCTACCTGCAATATATGCTTTGAAGACCCTCTGTCTCTCTAGTAACTTTCATGCTGCTTCCAATGGATCATTTTCATGATCTAACAAAGTCTC